CTGCTGCTGCTGCTGCTGCTGCTGCTGTTGCTGCTGCTGCTGCTGCATCGCGGCCCGCTGCGCCCGGCTGCGCCGGGTTTCCTGCTCCTTGCGAGTGGAAATTGCGAAAAAAAAAAAAAAAAAGCGCCGCCCAGCCCAGCGCCCGGCAGCCGCGGCCGAGCTGCCCGCTCTCCCCTCCTCCCCGCCGCCGCCGCCTCCCCCGTGCTCCTGCGGCTCCGCCTGTCGGGGACGCTAGTTCGCGGGCGGGGCGGGGCCGTCGGGGGCGTGGTCTTCGGGCGGGGCCTTCGAGGGGCGGGGCTCGCGCCGGGGCGTCCCTGAGGCTGCGGCGCTTGGGCGCCCCCCTCACCGCCCGCTGGGGAGGGACCCAACTGCTCGAGGCCGCCCCTCTACCCGCGGCGGCTGGGCTCAAGCCCCAGGAAATGCCGCGAGACTCCTCGAGAGCGGAGAAGGGAGGGGGTTGTGGGGGAGGGGGCGTCCAGTGTAAGGGCTGACGGGGAGGGTGGGCAGAGTCCGCGGGAGGGCTCGAGAAACGTGGGGGATGGGAGGCCCTGGACAGGTGAGCGGCCTGACACCTGCTGAGTATGATGGCAGGTGAACCCAGGCAGGTCCAGGCAACCCAGAATAAAGCTTCCAGAGAGGGCTCTTGGGAAGAAGGGTCCCTGTGGAAGGAGAGGAAAGCCACATCCCTTCAGTGCGAGGGAGGGAGCACAGGCCAGGTGCGAGTTTCCCACGTGAGGCAAGTTTCCCACCTCGGTGGCATGGAGATGGGGAATGCCGCATATGGCCCCAATGGAGCCCTAACCCCAGCGTCCTGTGCTTGGGCCGGGTGAGGCGTGGTTGCTCAGCAATGTTCCCAGGTATCACCCGAACCAGCTAATGGCTCCCTCCCAATAGGCGTCTATGTGCCACAGTGATCCCGCCAGACCTGGGCAGACGACCCTTGAGTGGGCACAGAAGTGAAAACAGGAATTCGTGGGAATCCATCCATCGGGCTAACTCAGACTCCTTTTCCATCTATTCATCACCTTTTGCCATAGCTACTCTGCCAGCCACCACATTCATTTATCTTCCTTTATTTCCTTTTCCCTTCCTCCATCTGGTGGTCGGAAGAGATAGTGAAATGGATGGGAGAAATTCAAACATAAAATAAGATAATAAAGAAATTATTGTCTTATGTTTGGAAAATGGAGGAGGGTTAGTGGCCCCACAGGAGACTAATGCTGACACCTCTTTTAAGTTGATTACATCCTGGGATTTTTGCAGAAAGATGTTTGTTTCATTGGATTAAAAACAACCACCACCTCAAAGTCAGGGTCTTATGAGAAAGAGATCTGCAGCAGCATCTTTCTAAAAACTTTTCTCGTATGTGTCAGCGCAATCCAACCAGAGACTGGTGGAGGAGCAGAGGACCCACCGTGCAGCTCTGAGAAGGCTCATAGGACTGCCAAGGAAGGAGCCAAAGAACAGGGACGTGAGGAATCTTAGAGTCGCTGTGGATAAGTACTGTACCCTGCAGGCTCCAGGCCGCCTAGGTCACTGCATGCCTTGACACATCAGGAGGTCTTGTGATAGGAGCCTGAGAGCCTGGCTAATGGGGCTTTACTTTTCTGGAAGCTCACCCAGAAGACCTGGTCTGAAGTCTGCCCCGTTGCAGCAGCGGATCTCTGTTTGGTCCTAGGGTGCAGGGCCAGTTTTCCCTCCCTTAAGGAGACTCATCACTAAAAGTCATTGGGTGTGCTTCAGCGGCATGGACATGACAGAGACCAGTGCAGCCAAACCAGCAGGCTCAAAAAAAAATAAATTAAAAAAATGTTTTAATATCCTGCTTGATCATACTGACTCCCTGCCCCACATAGGAAAGAGTTTTCCTACTTAACTTTTTCCTCAGCTGCACACAGATTATGAGAAAATACACTGACCCCTTCTTGAACCAGAGTACTGTCTTCACTCGGCCTGGGCACACTTTCTGCTAGGAGAGATTTATCATTTTATCACAAAAGATTATTCACAAGATTTTAGCACTTTGGGAAATTCTTGAGCTGTGTCCTAAATCTAATGTCTTAAGTAAAATAATATATCAATTCTACTCAAAACACAATGGATTTTTTTTCATTTTTAGCTTCTCTAAGTGTTAAAAATGTATATTCCTTTTACACACACACACACACACACACACTTGTTGCTTGGTCTTCTGAATTGTTCCTATTGTCCTTTTATTTTTCCTTTGAGAAAGTTTTGCTGACCAGCACAAAGGAAGTTACTATCAAGATTCAAATCCACTTGCTAACAAGAAGAGAAGCCTAATCCTCACCCACGTCCACTTAAGAGAGGATTTACTGGAGAGTTAGTGCAATATTGCAGGTGATGTGGATGCACCTCATGAATACTGCCAGAGAATACAAATGCATGCAATACAGCTTCGTCCCCTGAACTCCCATTTCTACCAGAAGAGATCATGCATTTTGGGAATGGAGAGGTCTGAACTTTCATGCTTAAAATGGTCTCACCTGACTTAGAAGGTCACACTGTGTTGCTCAGTGGTGGTGACATTCTAGATAAAAATAGGGGGTTGAGCCGCTGCCTATGCGGTACCTGCAGAGACTTTGCTCTTTGCGTGCGCTCAGATTTGACTTCATTAATTTGCACATAACGAATGACACTTTGCTTTGATAGTCATTAGTATCATCCTTACATTAATATAAATTACACGCAGAGTGCTTTACAAAAGATGGTCATTATCTATGAGGAACTTTATGGAGAAATGTAAAACTCTCATGGCATCAGAAAGGAAGGAAACGCTTGATAAAAATGGCGGGCAAGTGAAAGGGAACTGCCGCCAGCACGAAAGCTCCAGGGTCTAAAGCAGGAACCAGCCAGGCAACAGAAGTGATTCCACTGGATTATAACCAGAGGGACACAGTCACAGCTACATGCATGTAAGTGAATTAGCTGAGGGCAGGAGGAGACAAGTCTTCCTTACAGAGGAATTCTGATTAAGAAATGCAGAAGAAATGAGAATGAGAACCCTGCCCCATAAGAACACCACAGTAATAATCCATGCAAGCACACTCCTCCTCTAGTTCTCAAGTGAGTGGGGGCAAGTTTAGGGAGAAACTGGCAGCCAGTACTTCAAGCAGACGCACAAGGCTCCGTGCCGACAGGTGAAGCAGGCTTTTCCCTTCTCCCTTTGTTTCACGTTCACTGGGTTAGAGCTAAGTTGTTGGGATGGATCCAAATCCCTAGGAATGACATCTTGTTCTATTATGTGTGACCTGGCCTGATAACCTCTTTGGAATGACCCACTCACTCCCTCTTTCACTCCCTTTTTTTAGTGAGTCCTTTGCAATAAATCCCAGAGAACTGGTTTTACAAGCCCTATGGAGAGGCAAGTCAGTCAAATCAGAGAAGTAAATCACTTATAAGACACCTAAACTCTAATTCTCCTTACAAGCAGGTTTGTAGGAAAGGCTTGCTTCAAGAAGGAAGGTGGAATGTGCTGTACCAGAAGGCTGTAAAAATGAAATAGCACGTTTTTGTTTAAAAGTTCAAAGAATGGGCAGCGGGTTAAAGCACAGCACTGAGAATCTAAAGCCGCTTCCGCATGAGTTCGATTCCCGCCTGCCCTGAAGGTGACCCCATGGCGCGGCAGACCTCTCCTGACCCGCCTGCTGCTCCCCTCAGCAGTGTACTTCGTCGATCTGCCTGTTCTGCTCCCCGCTCTGTCTCTGGTGAATCCTCTCACCATCTACATCTCTGGCCTGTACCCCAGTTCTGTATGAATAAATAAATAAATCTTAAAAAAAAAAAGTTCAAAGAATGCCTGTGTAATGGATTCAAAGTTGATAGGTCTCAGGAACTTGCATCTAAAACCCACAAGAAGAGCCTCACTGGTAGACTAACTCCCTGCGAACATTTTCCCTTCCTTTTTCTACACAGAGAGAATGGGTATAGAGTTTCAGCTTGGAAAGACAGAAAGTTCTGGAGGTAGATGGCAGTGATGGCTGCACAACAGTGCGAATGGACTTAGCACCACTGAACTTTAGTACACTTAAAATGGTTCAATTCTGTTACATATATCTGATCACAATCACAAACGGAGTGACTGTTCCCTGTGTTTCATCTACTCTGATACCAGTCCCACCTGTGTCCCAAATAGGACTCCAACACTGCAACAACCGATACCCTTTCACCCTCAGTGTCACCTCTGCAGGGTTCAGAGGAACCAAGTCCGTGGCCTGGGGTGTGGGTGATGAGCCATAACCACTTCCAGGCCATAAAGGCATCGGTGCACAGCCAACCCCAGATGGGTTCTCAAGCCTCAGGGGCCACTGGACTTAATTGAAAGTCTCTGAACCAGGCACTCACTTAATAAAGATAAGGTGCGAACCTTTTCTAGTGCAGCTTCTTATTAAATAGAGTCAGTCAAATCAAGTTCCTCTCCTTCAAAATAATAACAGGCCAGCCAGAGGCAAAAGTGGAAAGTAAGTGAGGTTCATCTTTGTTTGCCTGCAATTCCCCTACTGAGGTTGTCTTTCTGGACCACAGAGGTTCAAAGGGCGGCACCCAGACTGCCAGCAGCAGCAGCAGCAGCAGCAGCATGTGGGAACTTGCAAGCAAGGCACATTCTGCACCCCACCCCACACCTTCCGAACCAGGAGTTTAGGAGGTGAGAGGTGGGCCCCGTGATCACACTTGACATGGCCCCCCTGGGCTTTCTGATGCAGCTGAAGTATGAAAACTACTGTTGACTGTTCACCTGATGAACTTGTTGATGCTTAGTAATGAAACTACTAGTGTGCAGCCT